GTGGACTTGCCCTGGGGTGTGAGTGCCTGTGTTACAGCTGCCGGTGGAGCCAGTGGTACAGGAATGGCCCCCGTTACTCACCGTGTTTTCACAGAAGGGTGAACAGAGGAGCCCTTCACATAGGAGGAGCCTCATGGGACTGAGAAATGTGCGAGAGGCTCAGGAGGCGAGGGGTTGGGATGACTTCCACCTCACGAGGAAGAGTGAGGAGGGCACATAAGTCACTGGCCTTGCTGTTCAGGAGAGGGTGGTGGCAGTGCCAGGCCCGGAAGCCAGCGCCGCTCTTCCCGGGGCACCAGCATTTGCACGCGTGGAACGCACAGCACAGCATGACCTCATCCTCAGCATGATCCTCAGCATCTGTCTCATTCTCACCAAGGTGTGCAAAACCTCTAACTTAAGTTTAAAACTTTTAATTATTGCTGACCCCCTATTTCCTCACCAAACGGTGAGCAAATTTGAAGGAGGCTCTTTTTCATTCATACTGCGTCTAAATGGGTGTTCAGTAAATGTGTAATGAATAAATGCATCTTTATTCTCAAGAGGAGGCAGTGGAGGCTTGAGGAGGTAAACAGACTAGCTCAGGGTCACGGGCAAGGACAGAGCTGGACCGAGCGTGGCATCCATATGCCCCAGGTATGTCTCCAGCCCCTCTCATGTCGCCTCACAAAAGGTGACAGGAGCAACTGTAACCACCATTCGTTACCTTCATTATCCTCTAAGGCAGCGGCTCTCAGCTGGAGACAACTCCCCCTGAGGGGACATTTGGCAACGTTTGAAGACATTTTTGGTTGTCACATCTGGGCAAGGGGGTGCTATGGACACCCAGTGGATAGACGCCAGAGATGTTGCAAACCATCCTACAGGCCGCTGGACAGCCCCTCATGACGAAGAATTATCTGGTCCAAAAACCAATAATGGCAGGGTCGAGAAACTCCCATCGAAGGTCAGCATTGACACAACAAAAAGGGGATATTTCAGGGACATCAAGAATGAGACTGTCGGTCATGAGAGGCTGTGCCCTCTTTGAAGGCAAATCTTGATGAGAGAGAGAGAAGCTCCAAGAGAAAGCTGACTGTGGCCATGGCTGAGAAAAGGAGTCTCCACTCCAGTGCACCTGTCCCAGATGGGGATTTTAGGTCATCAGTGCTCCTAAATTCTGACTTGCACTTGGGTCTCTGCAGACTAAGTTCTGGATTCTTCCCAAGATTTCGTCTAGTAATTCCCCATTTCCATTAGCCTTCAAAAGCATTATATTTTACTGGGTTGGGGAGGGGGAAACCTTTGCCTTTAGGATAAAAGTAGTTGGTGTTAAAATTCTAAACTGCAATGGCATTAGTTGAAAGAGGTCTTTAGAATACTTACCGTTAGTTGGAAAGGAAGGTCTATTTAATCTCAAAGAATTTGAGCAAGTAAGACTCTTATTGCACTTTTACTCGAATGGACAAAGATAGTTTGGAATTTTTATATTATTTCAAAAGCTTTAGAGATTTCACTAACTAGCTCAACCAAACTTAGGAAGTTATTATTTGGTTTCCCAATGAAGTCTTGTTCTCATTAGAGTCTTTCTGTTTCTCTGAATAGGGTTGGAAGGTTATCGTTATGGTCTTTTCATCAAAGCTTTAGGATAGAGATGGGGTTTCATGAAGTAAACAATACGGGGATGTAAGGACGTTATATAACTTTACATATCAGTTTTCCATGAAAACCTGCCTTGGCATAAATTTGCCCTTCTGTGTTTGAGCTTCACAGAAAGCAGTGCGTCATAAATATCCACTTTTTGTGTCACTGGAATGTGCTTCATTTTAAGTGGGAAACTTGAGAAAGCGACTAAGGATTCTTTCTGCCAAGACAGGTCCCCCAGTCTTGGCAATAGATGAAATAAAAATATCTGCAGAACTGCCTTCCTGATAGAATGCCACACCAGTCCTTAGCAATTTGCACAAAGACCTCTTCTGAGTCCACATCCCCCTTAATTTTCTGCCCTATGGGACATAATGCTGTCTTCTCTCTTCTTTTCAGAAAGTGTTCAGTTAGTTTATAAATAGCTTCAAATCTACATTACTTCACTAATTATCCTCTCACTGTCTCCTTCAGTAAGTTCTCTTTTTCCATAGTTCTGTTTCCGTAAGAGTTTTAAAGGTGGTGTCCAGTGTTCTTAATCCTGGGTCACCTCTCCTCACAGGCACTTGGCCACTGGGAACTTGGACTTCCACACTTTGAGAAATGGTTCAGATAAGGGCAACCTAGGTATAGCAGACATAAAGTGAAATTGTATCTGTCTCCAAATATTAAAAGACTCAAAGTAAGCTAGTGGCATTTTCTAAGTTCAGAAGATCACATTCACATCACCACATTGTTCCTAAACAAAGTACAATATTTCTGCTGATACCAACAACTTAGAAGGATCTCAAATGGGAAGGAAACCTGTAATTTTATTTCTCCTTTCATCTTCAGAATGTTTTTTCTAAATTATGACTGCATTTGTAAACCTAAAATCATACTTGGCTTTTCTATGAAAAATTAGAAGTCGTCTCAGAACCATAAAATTCTCTCTCTAAAATTTATGTATTTAGTTTTAGTTTTGTTTTATTTTTGCAAAGGAACTAAGATTTATGTGAGTCAGACATATTAAAAAGGGTTTTTCGGGGGCTCCTGGATGGCTCAGTTGCTTAAGTGTCCGACTTTGGCTCAGATCATGATCTCACGGTTTGTGAATTGGAGCCCCACATCAGGCTCTGTGCTGACAGCTTCAGATTCTGTGTCTCCCTCTCTCTCTGAAACACTCCCCAACTTGTGTTCCCTCTCTCAGTCTCTCAAAAATGAATAAATGTTAAATTTTTTTTAAAGGTTTAAAATTTTTTTTTAAATTTCTTTTAGGTTTTCAGAAGATCACATATAAATCCTAAGGCTCGTTATTGTCTAATATTATAAATGAGGAAACTGAAGCTTAGAGAGATAAAGCAACTTGGCCAAGGACCCACAGGTAGCTGGCTTACAGTGGAGGAAGCCGGTTTCTGCTCAAGTTCCATGCCTAGTACGCGAATGAATAGTAACAGAGGACATGCCCCACCCATGGCTTCTATAGAGCTTTTAGCCCTTCTTTCAAGGTCAATGGGAAGGCGCTTTACAGGTACATCCAGGTGAAACCCAGGAAGGTGTTTCACAAGCTTGCCTATGAACTGCAGCAGGTCCTATCACCAGGGGTGCCTTCCAAGACAAAGAGAATTGACCTGTTATTTGTTGATGGCTTGCAAAAGCTAGACACATGACTTCCCAGCTCTCCTTTTGTCTCTGAGCACGGCAGACCTCTGAAGAAAGACAGGAAAAGTCCCACCTTTCTCCTTTAAAAAAAAAAATAAGTTAGACTTTCAGCGTTTGCAAGATGGATAAAGAGCTTGGCCTCTTGGCACTAACCATATCAGCATAACCTCGGAGGAGGCAACTTGATATAAAGGGAAACTGAATCTAGGAGAGGTGGGCACCTACCATCCACCCATTCCTTTCTCCCCACCCCCAATGGGTGAGGTCCCCGCTGGTATATTGCGCATCAATAAGTCCATCAGACCTTCCTTGTTTTCTTTGCAGACCGTGAGTCTCAAGCTAGGCTGGCGTTAATGATTAACAGCTGAAGTTTGAAAGTGTGGTTAAGTGTAGCTGTGGCTAGCAGGCATACTAATATGAGTGGCCAAGTGCTAAGCCACACAGACAAATCCAAGTTCTCTAGCAGTCTCTCTGGGGTCATTAAAAAAAAAAAATACACGGTAAAATAAGAGAAAAAGGTTTAATGTATTGAAAGGGCAAGCAACTCGACCAAGGTACGTTTTTGATATGCCAAGACTTCGAGGGCTTTCACAGACATGCTGTAGGAAAAGACAATGTTACATAACATCGGAAGCTGGTAAAAGTAAATATTAAAGTTAAGTGAACGTTTCCTGCACAAGCTCATTTAGAGGAGGATGAAGACCATTTTGGAAGAAGAAAAATATTCTTGTTAAGAATGTGGCAACCAAGCAAACAAAATATGTTCAGGTACGATTTCAAAAATTCTTTAAGATTTCTCTCCAGCAATTATTCCTTGAAGTACCTTTTTCTACCATGGGGGTCTTAAAAATTCTTACATAGAGAATGATTGATTTATTAAAATTTGTCTTACTTGACATTTTAGAGGCTTTTATCCCTAACCAATTTAAGAGGAGATGTAGAATGAAAGAATAATTTGTAATCAGTAACAAGTAAACAAGTAACAAGTAAAGCATTGAACTCACTGCTCTGTGAGGGAAAGTACACTTATAGGTGATGAAGATGAAGATAGCCTATGAATATACTTGCAGCAGAATTTTTAAATGATAACTTAATAAGTAGAAAATCATTTAGAGCTCTTCAAGAGGTACAGAGAGACTTCAAAGATGGAAAGAAAGGGAACAAGTTGGAAGAGAACGCAAAAATGGAAAAATGGGGGCTGCCTGGGTGGCTCAGTCAGTTAAGCGTCCGACTTTGGCTCAGGTCATGATCTCATGGTTTGTGAGTACAAGCCCACGTTGGACTCTGTGCTGACAGCTCAGAGCCTGGAGCCTGCTTCAGATTCTGTGTCTCCCCCTCTCTCTGCCCCCCCCCCGCTCATGCTCTTTCTCTCTGTCTCTCAATAATAAATAAAAATGTTAAAATTTTAAGAAAAAAATGGAAAAATTAAAGTTGGGGAGGGCTCAGATGACAGCAGTATCTGGTTAATGGTGAGCTGGCGACAGCAGGGACGCAGAGATGGGGGCACGCCCCTGTCCGTCCTGGGTTCTTCAGAACTAGGAAAGTGTTGAACTCTACACATAACCATGTCCTAGGATTTGGGGAAGTTAAAATTCAGCATTATGGTAATAACCTGAAAATACCGTTGAATTAACCACTCCTCTGCCTCCCTATTTCTTGTGAACCCTGCTGTCAGTAAACTGATTATAAATTCACATTTTATGTTCTAAATACATACACATTTTTCTTTTTGTAGGATGGCTTTATTTTATCAAATGGTACATTTCATTTTATTTGCCTCAGTTTCCAGTGGTAAGTAGAGCTTAATCTTAGATAAGAATTGGGAACAGCTTGGTTTCCTGCTTTGAAGACTGGAAAACAGCAGGGCTTAAGCCATCTATAGTCCCACATCTACTCCACGGAAGGATATTAAATCATTTTATTTTTCACTTAAGGCTCCAGGGGTTTCCAAAGCAGGGAGGGCAAGTGAAGAACAGGCATTGTTCATAATAGTAGCAATCTGGGTCCATATATACAGTCATATTCACATCTGTGTATATATTTGTATCCAAACCTACATCACTCATTACAAGTCTGGTAGTAATTACTACTCCCTTTGCATCAAGTGGTGGGATTTCTGTGGATAAGGGGAACATTTCCAGGTGCAAATAGACTCTTCATTAATGGGGGGTCTGCCTCACCACTCCCACAAAGCCATGTGAAGCTTGGGGACGGGGGGGAGGTTTTTCTGTTAACCTCCAGGTCATTCTTGAAGCTGTCAATTTTGGAGAAAATTATACTATATGCAGAGGTTAGAGTTGGCTAATTTAGAAGGCTTATGTGCTGGGTTTTGAGTACAGCCTTGACTCTCTTTTCCCCAGAGATCTCTTTGGACTCTGTTCTCAGAATGTCTTTAAAGGCATAAAGTAAAAATACAAAGGATTACCAAGAAAATCAATTATACTGAAATATACTTAGTTAAAATGTGAAAAAAAATAACCTGATATAAAAGTATATGAGCTTCTTATTGAGGAAACAAGATTTAGTGGTGGGTCTAAAACTGCCCGGTAATAATTACCACCCAGCTGGTGATGAGGGGTAATGTTATTTGAAGATGTCTGCAGCTGTCATGTTTTCTTTTCTAAATATGTAATTTTATTATGACAAAGCAGGTACTTTGAATCCTGTGGTTTGTGACATTAATAATGGAAGGCTATGTCACATTTTAGGTAGAGGTTAGTGAAAATAAAGTTGGAATTTTCCCCATCTAAGATTATAGACTAAATCCTAAAGCCTCTAGTAATAGTTTTCACTGCTCTGTACCTACATACCTTTCCACATATTTATTGGTATGTTGTTTGTTACTATACACAATAAATATGTGAGTTACATTTTATCCTTCCCAAAGTATTTCATTTTTACTATATATATATACACACATTTATCTATATATAATATGTGTTATATATATATGTATATACACATACACATATATATATGAAAGATATTAAGAAGACTTCTTAATGGAAATATACTAAGATTAAAAACTACAACCTTTTATTCAGTGACTGAGTAATAATGACCCAAAGAGCCATAATCTAGAATATTAGATATCTCTTTCTAGAAACAGGGAAAAAATTAGTTTTATCCAATTTAGCTTTAAAAACTACCTATGTATCATTTCAGCTAGAATGGGATTCAGTTATTTTTCTGAGAATCTACAGTTCCTATTACTCAACTGGCCCATTTTAAACAGTGAGGTGATACAGTATATTATAGCCAGGGCCATCTAATACTATTGAAAAATGATCACTCTGGATCCTTTGTTTCATATAAACATGGAATTTTGACAAACAGAAGCAGTAGCGAAACAGAAAGAAGGCGGCCCATTCCAGACGTGGATGCGATCCTAAGGAATATCTTTTGCCAGTAAAGCTCTGAGAAATTATTCAATTCCCCACAAAGCACCCACGTCTCCAAGACAATCACTCATAAGCACAATTCCATTGAGGTAAATGTGCCCTTTTGTGATTTCCTTTCCTGTCTGACGCTGCTCATCCAACAAACTAACCTAAAAGTGTTGATTGCTCTGATTTCCAAGTTCAGTGGTGTTTCCTGTTATGTAGACCTACTTTGCTTGCCTTTGTGAGATTATTATCTATTTGATACTTGCAACTAAAACCCCAAATAACTCATGCCATGTATTACATCACAGAATGTGTAACTAAGCTGTTCACAGATACTGGCTTTCAAGGAGGAGACATCACTACCGTTTTCACGCCAAGCGTCAGGCACTGCCAACTCGTCTGTACCCACCACCCAAGGTGTCTGCTCTTCACCTTCATGGCTGAATCGTCCTCTGAAGATCCTACCAGATGGTAAATGTTTGCGCTTCTGCACAGAGGAAGTAACTTTTACAGGATGATTACTTACCAATAAATATTCATCTTCCATTTTATAAAATGGAAGGTTAATGATGGGAAATCATGTTGCCCTTCAATTGAAATACTAAATATTGCAGGAAAAAAGATGGCATCTAGGCAGATCAGGGAGGGGGAGACATACCTTGCAGTGTGGACTGTACAACTTCCCTGTAGTCTAGATTTTAATGGTACCCTTATTTCTCTCTACTCTTATTATGCCTCTTAATCATTTTGTCCTTGCTTTTTGATTGATTATTGATAATTGATATTATTCAAACTGGTGATTTTTCCTCAATTATCAGGAAATAAATATTTATAAATGTAGTTTGAAAGAACAGTGCGGTGGTCCCCTGTCACCAAGATATATGCCATTTGTGCCTTATTTATATCTATCTACCATCTATCTATCTATCTATCTATCCATCTATTTAACCATTTGAAATGATTTGAAAACGTTATAACATTTCACCCCTAAATATTTCAATATACCTTTTCCTACATAAAGGAAAAAATTATAACAAGAACCCCTTTATATCATCTCAGTTGTCCCCCAAATATAATTTATAGCTATTAACCAGTATCTTCTCCAGATTCACAACTGCGTTTAGTGATTTCGTGATTATAGTCATATTTTTAAAAATTTTAGGACATTTGGGGGCACCTGGGTGGCTCAGTTTGTTAAGTGTCTGACTGTTGATTTCAGCTCAGGTCATGATCTCATGCCTTCATGAGACTGAGCCCCATGTTGGGCTCTGTGCTGACAGTATGGAGCCTGCTTGGGATTCTCTCCCTCTCCCTCTCTCTCTGTCCCTCCTCTGCTTCTGCTTTCTCTCTTTCTCTCTCAAAAACAAGTACATAAAAGCTTTAAAAAATTTTAGGACATTCCATCCACCACTTTTGTTTCCATGTTGAACTTGAAAATTCAGTAATGAAGCTTTACTAGAGAGGTAAATTATCAGCGTGTTTGTGTATTATTGCTCCATTCATAGACATTTACATATTATCCTGAACTTAAAAAATTACTACTCTAGAATCTACAACAAGGGTTGGCAACTCTTTTTTTTTTTTTTTTTTGACAAAGCAGGGATTGAATATTTTAGGAATTATGGATCTAGGAGCAAAGTCAAAGATATTCTATAAGCACTTATATAACTATTTAAAATGTAACCATTAAGAAACATAGACCCATTCTTAGCTGATAAAACAGGCAGAGAGCTGCTTGACCAACAGGCCATAGTCCACTCCTGTTTCCAGTTAGTAGGGATTACCGTATGTGATCTCTTAAGGGTAAGGATGGTAGAATGGGGGGAAAAACCAGCTTTGCTAAGAAAATATTTGTTTTGGCTTCAGACAGAGCAGTTTATTTGTTTCTCTCTGACTTTCTGTGGGCTGACTTTTCAGATCCATTATTTTAAAACACAAGTTCTCATGCAGGTTCACTTGTGTCCTGAAAGACAGTGTGACAGAAGCACTGCCACGGGTCAATATGACAGGAGCAATTTCTGGATATTCTTTCAAGCAATGCCCACATCAAATAAGTGGTAAGATGTCCTATTAGAATTCACAACCACTAGTTACTATGATATATATGTAGTTATATCACATATGGTTTTATGGCTGTAAAACAAAACCCTGCTCATGAAGTTCTTTCACTGTAGAGTAAAAACCAGCACACATGCATGATCCACCCCCCCATTCCCAGCTTCGACAGTGGGCTCGAACTCATGAGCTGTGAGATCATGACCTGAGCCAAAGTTGGACACTTAACCAGCTGAGCCACCCAGGCACCCCTGTAAGTCTGTATTAAACATATTACTTCAAATCAAAGGAAAAACTAGAAAGGTTGTGATGACACTTGTCTTGATAGTGAAAAGATCCTCAGATAGGTTAGTGGATCAATCAGACTAACCTATGGAGTCAGTAGAGTTAAGCAGACAAGGGAGGCCAGGGTAGAAAATTAACACAGGAATTGACAAGTCTAATATTATTGCAATAGAAGAAGGGCAATTGTATTCTTTTTCTGCTTCCATGTAAGCATGGAAGTTAAGTAGATGAAGATGAAAACAAAGGACTTCAGGGAAAAAGTGGCTGGAAGAGGTCAAAGAGTAAGTCAAGAAGGGCAGTGGGTAACATAACATGACGCAGGTTGGTCCTGGAGTCTGGAAGATCACCATGTTTTCTGCTTCTATCTCCAGCTTGCCACAGGAATATGTATATGGACCTGGACATGAAGGGCATGAACTATAATAGCTCAATTACCAGGAATGCTCAGGAATGCCAAGAGAGATGCACAAATGACATGCACTGTCACTTTTTTACATATGCAACAAGGCAGTTTCCAAGCTCAGAGCATCGGTGAGTGAGCCACAGGCTGAGCCTGAGAACAGGAAGTAGATCATCACGTCATCTGATGGAAAACAAAATTTCTCCTCAACTTGATGCCAGAAGCTTATTTTTAGCCCCTAAACAACATTTCTAGAATAAGTACAGTGCTAATAGTTTTCCTCACAGAAAGTGCATTTAAAGACCAATTTGGATGTGTTTCTTTTATTTTAAGGACTCTGTCTTTTTACTGACATTGTTTTATATACATATATATACACGTACACATATATGTATAATACATGTGTATAATATGTGTATACATATCTATGTATATACATAGATATACATAGATATATACAGAGATATATATCTGCTTAATGCATCTCCTAGGTAATTTAAAAAGTGATACATTTCTTAATTGGCAATTTTGAGACAGTTACAGTTGATCTGACTATGTCATTCCTGGCCTAAGGATTATAGAACCAAAGGAAAACCTATGCAGACCTCTCTAAGTAAGAGTTCCTTTTCTAAGACAGAATAACTAAAGCCCATGCGAAGTGTTTTAAAATCTGCCCCACACAGGATTTTGAAATATTCCAGAGATAAATGTGTGAGAATGTAGAAATGCCCTGATCTCTAATGATGAATCTGTGTTCTCTTTTTTTAAAAAAAAATTAGGGAAAAATATCACCAACTTTTATATTTAGAAATATCTGAGACATGCTAGGGTTGTGTAGTAAACCATGCTGATCTAGAACCCAGCCAAAAAAGGAGAACTGAGTTTAAATGATGATTATTTGGATTCTCCTTTGGGTTTTTCCATTCCACTCTCCACATTCACAGGAAGGTGAGTGCAAAGCAAATAAAGCATCTGAGACTTATTTTAAAAACGACAGCAATAAAACCAAATCCTCAGATTAAGTAGTAAGCTTTCACAGTTTGTGTTTAGCTCAGCTCAACTACATCTTGTTAACATAATTTATATATGAGACTTAACACGACAGGGACAGCAAGCCAGGACATGGGGAGCAGAGAAAGGCTTGAGAATTCATTATTTCCTACCTCCAATTCTTCAGGCCATCATCTCTCCAAAGCTGTCATGTCAGTGATGAAAAACAGAATTGACAAAAATCAGAGGCCCTTCAAGTCCTGGTGGAGGAAGGACTCAAGTCCCGTAGCCCAGCATCAGCTAGATGCTTTTCAGAGCAGTTCCTTAGCTGTCAGCCCAGAAAGTCTCTAAATTGGCATTTCTTATCGTCTCATGTTGTTTCCTACTTGTATTTAGAAGAGTAAAACATTTTTCCATTTTTGTTTTCATTCAGTAACATTTGTCTATTGAAGTACACCCGCATGGGGACACCAACCAGAATAACGAAGCTCACTAAAGTAGTGTCTGGATTTTCACTGAAATCTTGTGCGCTTTCTAAGCTGGGTAACTTATTTTCTCAGTGAGGTGGTTTAGCCATTAAATAGCAGGTGCTGATGGTATGTATGCATGAAGGGCCTAGCTTAGGATACCCATGTGTGCTCCCTGATGAAATGGACCAAATGATCTTTTACCTTCTTTATGTGAGAAATGTCATTGTGTCCCATATAATTAGAGCTATATTTGAATTTAAATTTTTTTAATGTTTTATTTCTGAGAGAGAGAGAGACAGCATGAGCAGGGGAGGGTCAGGGAGAGAGGGAGATACAGAATCTGAAACAGGCTCCAGGCTCTGAGCTGTCAGCACAGAGCCCAACGCGGGGCTCGAACCCACAAACCATGAGATCATGACCTGAGCTGAAGTTGGACACTTGGCCAACTGAGCCACCCAGGCGCCCCGTGAATTTAAAATTTAAAACAATCCCTCCAGTTTTCCTAATTAAAAAAAATTAAAGATCTTGGATTTAAAAGACTGTAAAAAATAATTGTTATTAAGATTTTATTTCTTTGGAGCAATTTTAGGTTCACTGCAAAATGGAGGGGGAAATATGGATGCCCCATATAGCCCTGCCTGGGACAGATGCACAGACTCCCTCATTATCAACACCCCCCACCAAAGTGGTACATTTGTTCCTGTTAATTAACATACATTGACACATCATAATCACCCCAAAGCCCATAGTTTACATTCCGACTCACTCTTGGTGTTGTATATTCTATGGGTTTGGACAAATGTATAATGACATCTGTCATCACGCTATCATGCAGAGAATTTGAACTGTCCTAATAAAAACTCTGTGCTCAGCCTATTCATCCCTCTTCACCCCGTAACAAACCTTTTCTAGGGAAGTTACAAATGCTATGACTGGGATTTTACTGAAAATGTTGGCGAATTGATTTCTTAAACACTCTTTCTTCTGTCATACAGCTTGTATTAGGGACATTTTCCCTGGTACAGCGTTTGCAGACAATAACATTGACAGTGTCATGGCTCCAGATGCCTTTGTCTGTCGCCGCATTTGTACTCACCATCCTGGTTGTTTGTTTTTCACCTTTTTTTCTCAAGAGTGGCCAGAAGAATCTGAAAGGTAAGGAGTTAAGATGAAGGTTAATGCTTTAAAACAGCTGATCATAGTCTATCCTTTAAAAATTCTGAGCAGTTACACACTTAATCTGGATGTCTATATATGATGGACAGAAGTTGCCAGGAAGAATTCCTACCCCCTCTCTCTTTGCATTGCCCACCTGATGTCTGCAAATCTTATGTTACCAAGGACTCTTATTTTCTTCAGCTGAGGGAGATCTCTGCCTGCAGCAAAGGGAGAGTTGTCTCATTCTGAATGGAATAAAGAAAATAAGGATGACCATTAAGAGGCAACTTAGTCCAATGCCCAGTTTGAGATTATTGAACCTGGAGTAGAAAGGGCTGGGAGTATTAGTGAAAGTGGAAATGAAAGCCTATATGAATGGAATTGGGGGTAATTGTGGAGGGAGGTTTGAGAACTGAGATGCTGTTTCCCTACTGATGGGTATTAATACAGGAAACTATACTAAGACATGGGAAATTTCTCTGATCATTGAAGGGATGTCTACTGGGGTTGCTGTTCCTCATTAATAAGATTGACTGAAACAACAAACAAAAACAAAAAAACAAAAAAACCCACTTAAGTCTGCTTCAAAACCTAGAGCACTTGAGATGCTCTATGCGAGAATCTCATTATAAGAGAATGAGAATTCTCAGAGCCCTTGGTATTTGCTTGACTTGGCCGCTCATGTGGGAAATGTGCCCCCTAGAGCAATCCAGCTGTGCTGAGCCCTTGAGTTCCTTGTCCATCAAGCAAACCTGGTTTTCCATTGAGTGACTTTTGGAAGTACTAGGTTGGTCACATGAAAATATATCTGTTACTTTCCTTTACTCAACAATATAATTTATTCGGTGCCTACTATATACCAGGCACTGTTCTAAACACCAGGGATACCATTAGTGAACAAAATAGGTAAAAACTCTGCCCTATTTGGCCCAGAGTGGAAGTGATAGACAAGTTATCAGGTTGGGATATATTATCTGATGTAGAGACAATAAAACTTGTTGACTGGTTGTCTGCTCTGAAGGAAAGAGTCATTGAAAGCTTTAAGACTTTTGGCCCACGGAATGAAAAGGATAAAAATACCCAAGACTGTAATGCAGAGTTCATGAGGAGCAGATTTCAAGAGGGAAGAGATGCCTAGTGGATATCCAGAGAGAAATGTTGAACTTGGCAGTTGGAAAGAGAAATCTGGAACTAAGAAGAAAGGTTTATGTTCTGGATCTGTGTCTGGGTATCACCAGCATACCGCTGGTAATTGAAGGGACTGAATGCAGTCAGAGAAGAAAGGAGGTTCAAAGTTTGCATTATAAATGTGACAAATTAGAAAGATGCCTTTGTACTGTTCTGTTAATCACCGCTCTTTTTCTTTTCTACTCCTTTCATAACATTCCCAATCAATAACTGTAAGAGGGGTAACACACTGGATCCTCTCAATACAGGGTGAGAGAGGACCATGAGTGCTATAAGCTAAGACTTGGCTTTTTAAATTGAAATATTCATTTCTTCAGCTGTATCAGCCACATCTCAAGTGCTCAATAGCCACACGTGACTAGAGGCTATTGAATTGGATGGTACAGAAATGGACTGTGTCCATCACTGCAGAAAACTCTACTGGACAGCACTTCTAGACCACGATGTGGGGCTATTCAGGAAAAGTTATTTTGTTCCAAGAAAACACTGCTTGTGTGGAGCCTGTGATGAATGTCATTTATTCCTGTCTGAGCCTAAAGCAACTCTGGATAGCAGATTTCTCCATAGCATGGAAATTATGGAATCTTTGAAATAGATGAGGAGTGTTGAAAGAAAGGAGACAACGGAAGATGCTAGGAATACTGGCAATAGAAACAGCTCGGAAAATTTTTTGGAGGCAAATGGTTTCATGTTGAAGATCTGTCTACAATCTATGGATCGTGGGGTCTGACTCAGTGATGTATGAAGAGTACTTGCAAAATGAGAAATTGTTCACTATCGAAATTTTTTTTATAACATTTTATTTATTTTTGAGAGAAAGAGAGAGAGACGGCGTGAGCAGGGGAGGGTCAGAGAGAGAGGGAGACACAGAATCTGAAACAGGCTCCAGGCTCTGAGCTAACTGTCAGCACAGAGCCCGACGCGGGGCTCGAACCTGCAAACTGTGAGATCATGACCTGAGCAGATGTCGGACCCTTAACCAACTGAGCCATCCAGGTGCCCCGAAATTATTCACTATTAAACACCAACATGAATTGACTTTTGTATGTGCTATAAAAATGGTTCTTTTCTTTGATATGTTTTACATAATAGTTTGACATAATACATTTATATTCCCCCCCCCCCTTTTTTTTTATTGTTAGAAATCTTTGTCTCCTAAAAACATCTGAAAGTGGATTACCAAGTGCACGCATTAAAAAGAACAAAGCTCTTTCTGGTTTCAGTCTACAAACCTGCAGGCACAGTGTCCCAGGTAAACAACACAAGCACTCTCTCCTGATCAAGATGAGCAAACCCGAGAATGCCTAGTGGTAAGGTTGCGTGTCTCCCATCTGATATGTGATTTCCTGCCTAGTGTTCTGTCATTCCTCATTTTACCACAACACTGATTTTTTGGGAGAAGAACTGGACATTGTTGACGTGAAAGGGCATGGAGCCTGCCAGAAAATGTGTACCAACTCCATCCGTTGCCAATTTTTTACCTATTCGCCATCTCCAGAATCTTGCAACGGAGGGAAGTAAGACGTACAAAGAGTTACATGGATACTCCTGTCCCATCTCCTTGAGGGGTGTGTTATGTTTATACTACTCTGTTTCCAACTTGCAGGGGTAAATGTTACTTAAAACTCTCTTCAAATGGATCTCCAACGAAAATACTTCATGGGAGAGGAGGCATCTCTGGATATACATTAAGGTTATGTAAAATGGATAATGGTGAGTTTAATGTCACCTGAGAAAATAAATCTGAAGAAGGTATTCTCTACCAAGTATATCACGACTGTCAAAGTCAATAATAACCACAAAGGGAAGAAACTTAGTACAATAACGAACTTGAATGCAACTTTCTGTTATTTTTACTTCTGTCACCCAGGCTGACCATGTTTTAATGGTAAATTTGGGGCCTTAACTAAACTCAACTAATATTAGGCATTGCCTAATATTAAATTAGTATGTCTTTTAATTGGACACATGTATATAGCTGGTATTTTATGGTGAGACTCGGGCTCAGTCAACACTTTTATATTTGATTCCTACCATGAAGGCTAACTGTCTTTCTTATTATCCTTTAACATGGAGTATCGGTCAGGAATTTGGTTAATCAAATTATTTGTTTCCTGTCCATTAGCCATCACTTGGTAGTTAGCTGAAACATAAATAAATATCATGTGTTTGAAAAAATATGTATTTATTCAAGAAATAAAGTAGCTCGTCTTCAGTTGCCTTTATTTTTTCAGATCCCCTGAAAATATTCTGCAAACTCATGAATACTGGCAAAAATTTATGGTAAAACTCGATTTATAACAATGAGTGTGACAGGGTAGAAAGAAAATAAAAAGATTGTCTAGATTAAACAACACTTATACATAAAATGTAATAAACATTACACTGAAAATAAGATCTGCAGTGGCCACTTCTAGTGAGTAATTTCTGAGCGTAGTATTGAGGGATGGTTTGTAGGCAAACAGAATCATCTGCAGACAGAATCTCCAACAGGAAGAACCATCTCACACTCCTCTCTAAATCACCATAATAGCCTATGATGACTTTAGTGCTTACTAATTTACATAAGACTACATGTTTTAGACTTTTCTTGCTTAATGTCCAATATTATAACGTACTATGAATTTAGGATTCAACTGAGATTTAATGAATAAAATAGAAGTGATGACTATACTTTGTAACAGTTTTTAAAGTATAAAAATCTTCTGTGCCAGAATTATTTCTCCATCGAGAAGGTGAGTAAGTCCTTCACTACTGAGAACTTGTTTTGTAGCATGTATGATATTGTGTCCGATCTGACATCCTACCTAGGAAACCATGCCTTCTTGGAGTGTAGAGGGATCTGATGGCCCAAGCTCCTTTAAAAAACCAGCCAATTAAGTTGTATCTCATATATTCTCTGTTTTTCTTACAACACATGTATCTAAGAAGGAGCATTTATGATAATTCTGTTGTCTTAGTTCTGCTAAGCACAAGAAGGGACACTTGGCAGATGTTGCTGTCAGTGATTGACATAGTTTCTAAAATGGGAACCATCACTTAATACCTTAAGTTGCAGAATCCATTCCTCACTCTCCTTTCATTATGTTCTTCTCTGATGAATGTATGGATTCTGGTATGTGAAGGCTACAGAATGTATCAGGTGGAGATTGATAGCTGAGGCAGAAAATACAAGATAAAGGAAAATAAAACCTTAAGCCTTTTTAGTGCACCTTCTGAAACTAGATAATTGGGTTTTCCTGCACTATATCAGATGAAATAATACCCTAATGGGAGGGGATATCTAACTATCATGTCTTATACTGTCATTGGTCTCCAACATAACTTTCTAAAGATACAGAGGAATGGCTGTCAAAAGAATTGTTTCCTAACACAAAATCTAATGTTAAACACAGATATTTGCAGCATTCTGTTTGAACTGGGAGACAAAATAGAATGAACATCCAAACCTACCATTTATCCCTAATAAAGTCATTGTTGAACTGTTTATAACATTTTTAGTTACTGCTTACCTGTTCATTTTCCTAAACTTTGCCTTTCATTTCTTGTAAATCATAAGGGCTTCCCTGTAATTTCAGAATCTAGTCAAAATCTTCAAAATGTTTCTCTGAAATGAGTCTCACCCCATGCACTCTCAGGTGAGAACACTTTTCTCAGTGTGTCAGCCTGTTTAAGCTTTCCCAAACACATCAAGCTTGTTCCTGCCTCCACTTGCTAACCAGTGTTTTCCTCAAGATTTCTTTTTTCCTGTCCTCTCCTCCTATTTGAAGTCTCCCCCAGGATTATACATCCAATTTCCTGTTGAGAAAAGACAGGCCTAGAGAGATTGTTTTACACCTATGCAAAACCAGGGAACAGACCATCAAGGACTTCGCTTTTGACTGGTGACCCTTTCGCTAACTTCACATTCCTCCTCCTTTAGCTAAGGACATGAAGCCTCCCTGATCCTCTGAGCCATGCTAGTCTAATTGTAGGCTGGGTAGAGCATGTTGACATCACCAGTGAGCCTGCTACAAAGAATTTCAGCAACCCCCACTTCCCCAAACCGAATCAGAATCCGCATTTCAAAAGATAACCAGGTGATCCATATGCACATTAAAATATGAGAAGCATTGCTCTAGAATACTGTTGTCCTGGAACACCTCATTCCAATTCCATCTAGGTTATTGGGGCAGATTTGGCCAAGGCTCCCATTGAGAGGGTGGGTGTCATGTTTGGCATCCCAGGAAATAGAAGCAGAAGGGACTATCCTGCCCAGAGCAGCGAGGGCAGAAGGAAGCAGAGGGGTAAATGTGAATCAGATTGCTTGGAAAGTATCAAGGTTGAACCAAGAGAACTCCAAGCTGTCAACAAAGCCAAAAGGGAGAAGCAGTTCACAAACAGAAGAGCAGCGCACGCATGGATGGTACCCAGCTAGAGCAGGAGACTCTGGGACCAAAGGTCAGCCTGAGTAGTAGAAGATAGACAGGAACTGTACATAAGCTGTAACCTGAGAGGAAAGTGCTCGCTTCCTTTATAATAGCTTTTCTCAAACTTCAGCAGGGCTGGTTGACATTCAGATTACTAGGCTCCACTGTCCAAGTTTCTGATCTACTGGGTCTGAGGGGAGTTCGAAAAGTTGCAGTTCTAAGAAATTCCCAGGTGATGCAATTGGTCCAAGGGCCACACCTGACAACCATTGCTTTAAGAGAACCATCAGGGTTATCATATGATGGAGGAGAAGACCATCATGCAGTACCAGATAAGACATTATTTGAGGACATGCAGTTAGTCATGCACTTTTCCTGTGCATGCTTTGCTTGCTGACTTGGTTATAAAATTTCTTCACATCAAAGTCATGATAAAATATTGAATTCAGGGAAGGTTTTCTGCTCTTTGTGCCTGAAGAAACATAACTGCTGATGGAAAAGAGAGATTTAGGAAGCTACTCATTGCAACCCTTCTGTTGTAGCATGTACGACCAAAATCAAGCCCAGAATTGTTGGAGGAGAGGCATCTGTTCATGGTGAGTGGCCATGGCAGATAACTTTGCATATCACATCACCCATCCCGAGACACCTGTGTGGAGGCTCCATCATTGGAAACCAGTGGATACTAACAGCTGCTCACTGTTTGATTGGGTCAGTACCATTACCAATTTTATTATTTCCCCGGGACTCGCACATAAACTGAATCTGTCATTAGCATTTTAGTAAATACTTTAAAAATGTAAATTATCCTATTGGGTAAATTAAATTTCTATAGTAAAAAAAAAAAGGCAAAAAGGAAGAACACTTATGGTCTACCAGCATCAGATTAGGTGCAGAAATATGAAGGCATATTATTCTGCTTTCCCAGTTACATGCATCCACGTGCCCAGGGGTGTTCTTGTTATTTCCCATCAGAACATATCATCTGTGCTTGTCTTGGGCATCACATCCAGAGCTAAACACAAAGAGAATTTCCCCTTCTCTAAATCTGTAATTCTCTCCTTCACCTCTCCCCTTTTGCCTCTCCTCTCCCCTCCACTCCTTCTCTGTTGCCCTCCTCCTTCTCCTCTCTCCTCTCTCTTCTCTCTCTCTCTCCTCTCCCCCCACCCCACCATCATGTTGCCATGTTTCCAGATACAGAAGGAAGATTTCATTGTGCATCCTCAGATTGGATTCCCTACTTAGGTCAATTTTAGTATTGGCCAAACCAAAAACTCTGTCAGGAAGAGTATACGTGCTCCAGGGAATTTTAGTTGGCCGAACTTCCTCTTTGCACTTTGGTAGTCTCTGAGTTTCCAGATACGGTTTTGTGTGTTTGTTTTTGTTTATACTCATATTATAACTCAAAGATATGTTTGAAGTCATTAACCCCCTTTACCTTTTACCTTTTCCATATGGGAAAATGGACTACAAGAAAATCCAAGTGTATTTCTCAGATTCTCAGCTAATCAGTGGCAGGGTTGAAACTAACACCCACTAACACCCAAAACTCTTCATAAGAGGGAGGGAGACAAGGGAGGAAGGGAGGATGGGGGGGGAGGGAAGAGGGAGTGTGCACGTGTGTGTATGTGTGAGAGAGAGAGAGAGAGAGAGAAAGAGAGAAAGAGTTAGAGGGTGAAAAGAGCATTCATTCATTTTTATGTGGTTACTATAGTAAATGCTTACCCAGAACCTTCTACAGGCGGAATGTGAGTGAAAAATCTTGGATGAAATCACTCCTTTCCACCAAAAAGCCTTCCACCAACAGAAAATATCAGTAATAGCTAGATAAATAACAGTATAGCTCAAGTGTTTGGGAATTATTTGGTAATGGAAATTTCTTTTCCTCTATTGTTTATTCCTTAGGGTAGAGTCACCTAAAATCTTGCATGTCTATAGTGGCATTTTAAATCAATCAGAAATTAAAAAGGACACATCTTTCTTTGGGGTCCAAGAAATAATAATTCATGATCAATATAAAACAGCAGAAAGTGGGTATGATATTGCCCTATTGAAACTGGAAACAGCAATGAATTACACAGGTATGTAGAATTTTAAATGGAAAGTTATCTACAATGATGACCTAGATGTAATGTTTGACACTGCCAAATTCATGGCCTGGCCCTCACAATTTCAAGGTGGTATTATCATGAAAGAGGGGCTGCTAAGCTAGTCTTTTAGTCTGTTAAGACTGGCACTATTCCCTAATCATTAAATCTTACTTTGGGTGAAGCATTAGGTTCTCTCCAAGTTTCTTCAGATTCAAAGAATGACATAACTCTATAATACATTGGGATATTAAAGATGATCTATATCTCCCTTTTAGGGACGAAAGTATTGCAGGTCAGAGTGAGTAAGCAATTTCTACAGAGTCAACAGACCTAGTTAAAGAGATGGAGTTAGGAGAGAGGACTATGCTTTATCTCTCCCTTGTTCTCTTATCCCGGGATGTGTGATGTATAAAGTCGAATACAAGGAATGGAAATGAATGACAATAAGGCAAAACCTGAATATAATAGAGAACACACAAATAAGGGAAAGTGAAAGAAGAGAGTCTCTTCTGGGAGAAAAGATATATTTTGTTTCTGATGACTAAACTATGATTTTCAAAATTTAGATACTCAGAGACCCATATGTCTACCTTCCAAAGGAGATCGAGGTGTAATATATACTGAGTGCTGGGTGACTGGATGGGGGTACAGAAAATTAGGAGGTAAGAAATGATGTTTCTCCGTGTGCTCCATCCTAAAGATAAAGGACATAGTTTACTCTTAACCTTTTCTGCTATATCAAGTCATACAGCTAAAATGTGAGTAAAATAATCTTATCCTTCAACTACAGAAAGCATGCTAATGAAGACGAAGAGACAAAATTACCCAAGTGAGGAGGATCCCATGTATGTTTGATTAGAAATTTTAAGTATGACAATTTCTTTAATGTCTAATTATTTTTAATGAAGTTTAGTATGAAACCTAGCACTTTTCATTAAATGTCAGAGCCTCTTATCCAATTATTTTCTCCGGGAAGTAATTCCAGTTAGAGCCATACTTAGTTTTAAGTATGAATGTTAAATAAAGTATTCTCTATAACGCTATAATTATAAAAGGTCTATGAGGTAAACCTAATATTTTTCTTCTTTCTAGATTTTTATATAGGTACGATTTGATTTTAAGTTTACATATTTATATTATATACGCGATTATTCCAGTCACAAACCCAACATTTTTTCAGACAAAATACAAAATACTCTCCAGAAAGCTAATGTACCCTTGGTGACAACTGAGGAGTGCCAGACGCGCTACCGAGGGCACAGGATAACCAACAGGATGCTCTGTGCGGGCTACAGAGAGGGAGGGAAGGATGCTTGTAAGGTAAGAATGTTTTCAGCCAATTGAGTATATTCACAGGAGAATGTTTTGGGTTGTTGATTTTTTTATTGAGAGACAGAGCATGAGCAGGGGAGGGGCAGAGAGAGGGGGAGACACAGAATCTGAAGGAGACTCCAGGCTCTGAGCTGTCAGCACAGAGCCCGACATGGGGCTCGAACTCACAAACCGGGAGATCATGACCTGAGCTGAAGTCGGATGCTTAACCAACTGAGCCACCAGGTGCCCCTCACATGAGAATGTTTAATACATTTAAGAAGCAGTCTTCTGCCCCCGAGCAGGGAACCGCGGTCTATTTGTTTTACTTACACTGAAGTTTATAAATGGGCCAAGAACAGAATTCTAGGTGAAATCTCTCTGAGACACATGTATGTAAGATGAGAAGCATCTGAACCCATCTGTGCACCTTTTCTTTTTTCTCCTCCCCCTGTCACAGGGAGACTCGGGGGGCCCCCTGTCCTGTAAGCACAACGAAGTCTGGCATTTGGTGGGCATCACCAGCTGGGGAGAAGGCTGTGGTCAAAAGGAACGGCCAGGGGTTTACACCAATGTGGTTGAGTATGTGGACTGGATTTTGGAGAAAACTCAAGCCATGTGAAAGAGTCCCCAGATGCCATCTGACCCCCTGAAAGGCAAACCAGATTCTTCCCAGGAGAAGGGTTTGGCTTTGACTGAAGAAGACAGACACTGAGCCACCATTTTCCTCCCCAGGTTCTGGTATCAGACAGCAAGGCATTGAGGGGGATTGGTATTTGTGAGAAACATGCCAAAAGAAATAGTCATTTTCACAATTCCCCTTGTCTGATAATTATAGTTTATTTTCAGTGTCCAGTCTCTTGCCTTTTGATCACACCTTACTGAGCTAAAGAAATACTATACAGCGATATTTTTTAAGATTAAATATTGCCAAATATACCAGGAAAGAATCGAGTTGTGTCGTCAGAGGCTCAGGTAGAACCACCTATAGCAACCACCATAAAAAGATACATTAAATGAAAAACGGGGGCTGGAGAAAATGAGGACAAAAGCAGTCACCATCAACTTGCAAGAATCTGTACTCTGCCTACATGAATGTCCTTTTGTAAAAGAAGAACTTGATGAGACTCAATGACATGTTTTCAGAATAATCGGGAATTTTTTTGTCATTTCAACTTTTAACATTTTTGAATTAGTTTGGGTAGACACAAGCCATCAGTGAGCATGAATGTGGACTCTAGAATTTCTATGTGGGAAAGGATTAAAGGCAGTAGTGTACTAGGAAGTGGTAGCTTAGGGGAAGAATCTTTTTTTTAATTTTTAAAAATGTTTATTCATTTTTGAGAGACAGATCAGGAGTGGGGGAAAGGCAGAGAGAGAAGGAGACACAGAATCCAAAGCAGGCTCCAGGCTCCAAGCTGTCAGCACAGAGCCAGATGAGGGGCTCGAGTTCACGAACTGTGAGATCATGACCTGAGCCAAAGCTGGTTGCTCAACCAACTGATGGGGGGGAGGGGGGGTTGCTCAACCCCATCTCGGGGGAAGAATCTTAAAAGTTGTACTTGCCTAGAAAATTATAGGTGTGTAGATTGTATATTTAGTCAGTGTAGTTCTGGGGAAGGGAGGCTGATAGAGATGAAGGGAGAAAGCTAGAACTTTCCTAAGACAAGCGACCACTGTGGGTGTAAGTTTACAAATCCACATTTACAGATAACAAAGGGACTGGACAGAATTCAATACAAAACACATCCATGCTACAGGAAAAAAACCAATTTGGGAACAAGTGGATGGTTATTATAGAGCCCTCATTACTTTCAAAACAGCCCCCTGTGAACTAAGTATTGGGATTTTTCTCTTTAGTGTAAGTATTTGCCTGGTCAGTTTCAACCCTGTGTCAACAACTACACATCTCGTCCAAGATGAAAAATATTTACTAAGCACACTGAATGACGAGGACACAATGGGTAGCATATGTGACCATGTCCTTGCTCTCATGGAGCCCCAGTCTAGTTAGCATGAACAATAAGAATAAATGAATTACACAAGTATAAAATGATTTTAAATTTGAACAAGAGGGATGCACCATGCTCTATGACAAGAGAGAGAAAGAGCATTTGAGGCAGGTTCAAAGGCTGGGATAAAAAGGAGTTTGTGCTGAGGATGACAAAACACAAACAAAAGCAAACAAAACCCCACTTCACAAAGCAAACAAAACCCCACCTCACACAGATTCAAACAAGACTGGAATGGAAACTTGAGTGCCATTAAGGTCACCAAACGGCACTAATAATTGTCTCATTATCTGTGTAATTACCTTGGTAGTTTTGATGTAACATTTCACAGTAAAGAAAAAAGTGCTAGGATATACTTCCTCAGGACAAGAGATCGTTCCTCTACATTCCCCAGTTGTGTCTTTTTGTTGTTCAAAAGGAGAGGAAGAGGCATTCCAGGTGGAGGAGGCCATGTGTTACTAACCCATTGGTGAATAAACGTTCCGTGTTCTTTGAAAGAGAGACAGAGAGGAAAAAGCTTTCTCCAAAGTCTTTCCTGAGAAATATTTGAGAAAAACACACATTTTGGTTTTGTTAGACTTAACGTTGGAGGAGATCTTAAATGAAATCACTGAAAGGAGGTATAAAATAAACAATGAGAAGGTTCCCTGGTCCACACCAAAAGATGGCACACTCCACACACTGTTCTCTCTTCCATGTAGAGTTCCACCTTGGAAATAGCTCTGATTGGATGTAAAGGGCTTCCTCAGTCCATTTTTTTTTTTTTTTTTTTTTACAAAAGTATGGTACCCCAGTGTGGGGATTCCACACACCAGCCCCTCCAGATGGACACTTAGGTGGTTTCCAAGCTTTTCACTCATTCATATGTATGCAGGTAAATTTGTAGCATATATTCCAGAAGTAGAAGTTCTGAAAACACAACAAAACAAAAAACGTGAATGCATTTGTAAGTTTGATAAATATTATCCATTTCTCTTCAAAACCTTGTTGGGGCGCCTGGGTGGCTCAGGCCGTTAAGCATCCGACTTTGGCTCAGGTCATGTTCTCACGGTTTTTGGGTTTGAGCCCCGCGTCGGGCTCTGTGCTAACAGCTCAGAGCCTGGAGCCTGCTTCGGATTCTGTGTCTCCCTCTTTCTCTGATCCTCCTCTGCTCATGCTGTCTCTTTCTCTCTCTCAAAAATAAATTAAAAAAAAAAACCCTTGTGGCAATTGTCTCTCCTTTTAGCAGTGTAAGAGAGGGTCACACTTTAGCTAACATTATGACATCAAAAGGGAATTTGTTTTTTAATTTTTTTAATTCTATTATTCTTGAGAAAGAGAGAGAGAATCCACAGGAGCAGAGAAAGAGGGAGAGAGAGAATCCTGAAGCGAGGCTTGAGCTTACCCGATGTGGAACTGGAACTGTGAGACCATGACCTGAGCTGAAGTTGGATGCTTAAACTTAGGAATTTTTGATGGCCCGACAGGTGGAAAAAGGTGTCTCAGGGTAGTTTTATTTTTGCGATTTTCTCAATATAAATGTCACTAAACATCACATGTGTAAGGCTGTCATCTTATCAACAGCTCAATTTCTTGCTTAAATATAATAAATTTAGTAGTTACCACGGTGACATAGAGTATGATCCTTGCAGTTTTAAAACCATGTTAACTGTTGCAAGAAAAGAAGTTTCTGAGCTTATCTTGTTCAAGCTGGACGATGACTCAGGGCTGTGAAAATATTCGTTGTCTATCTTCCCTGCATGTTCCAGACATAAATTTGGGGTAGAAGAGGCCCCATCTCAATTCCAGGGATGTACACTGACTTGTGTGCCTCTGGCGAGGTACCCTACCTTCCTTGCCTTGGGAATTAGTCTACCGGTAAGCGGGTTGAGGCAGCTGGCAGGTGACATCCCCCAACTACTGTGATTGGCTCAGATGTATCAGTCTGGGCAACAATGAAGACGTTGATTGTCCAGGGGCACCTGGTGGCTCAGTTGATTAAGCGACTGACTCTTGATTTTGGCTTAGGTCATGATCTCACGGTTTCGTGGGTTTAAGCCTCATATTGGGCTCTGCACTGACTCTGAAGAGTCTGCTTGAGATTCTCTCTCTGTCTCTCTCTCTCTCTCTCTCTGCCCCTCACCAGCTCATGTTCTTTCTCTCTCATAATAAATTAATAAACTTAAAAAAAATGAAAAAAGACTTTGTCCAGAGAATGCCTTTCTCTTTCCCCTCCACGTGAATGAGGAAGAGCTGATCTTGGCTGTGGTCAAGCACTCTTGAGAAGCCAGCCTGAGGCCCTTGGAGACATGGAGACAGAAAACCCAAGGCCTGACTGAACTCTGGGCTTTCCTGTTTTACTGCAATAAATCCCCTTTCACATTTAAGCCAGTTCAAATTGGGTTTTCTATTACTTGCAGTGGAAACACTGGGACCCAGGGTATTCTCATTACCCTGATTCAATCAAGCTTAGCCTGCATACATTAGGCATGTGTAGTTACTCTTCTATGGAAAACAGTTTGGTGTTTTTCTTCTAATTTTAAAAGTTCTGTTTTCTTAAACAATTTTTATTCTAAACATTCAAAGAAGGGTTGGTTGCGACTCTTGGTAGAGCTGTCCGTCTTTCTGAGGTGAGTGGCTCTCCTGGACAGCCAGCAATGAGGCCACACCGGGCCAGGCCTACTGCGGTTCTCACAGGCAGGCACCTGGGCACCCGTAGGCTGCCATTATCTATCACAGGCTCTAGGAAGTGACCCATACTTTGGAATGAGGATCATGCATAATATTAAGGCATTTATTTATGAAAGATTTTATGAAAATTCTATTTTATGTTCTATATGACACACGTATGGCCTTACCTATCGTCCAACCGCATTGAAGAATCAGGGAAATTGATCCATTTGATGAGGGGGCCTGTTTCCCGCTGGTCCTGTTTGGTCCCTTTTCTCTCTTCATCCTCTGTGCTCTGCATCATGCTGACGTCCCCTGGTCACGTGCTTTTCCACACCCTATACCAGACTGGGTTAGGACGGGGCCTTTCCCTTTCCTTGTGTGAAAGGACTTTCCACATTTCTTTTAAACATTTAATTAATTTCTATTTTTAAGTTTATTCATTGATTTTGAGAGAGAGACAGCATAAGTGAGGGAGGGGCAGAGAGGGGGAGAGAGAAACTCCCAGGCAGGCTCCCCACCAGCAGCGCCGAGCCTGATTTGGGGCCCGAATCCACGAACCATGAGATCATGAGCTGAGCTGAAACCAAGAGTCAGATGAGTCAGAAACCTAATGGACGGAGCCACCCAGAGGCCCCGAGGATTTTCTACATCCTGCCTGGCAGTGACTCGAAGGTCACCTTCAGAGAATTCACCAACCACACTGATGTTCCAGCCGCAGTTAATGGTGATCGTGTGTCGTCACAGTAGGTTCCTCTGTCGGTAAGCCTTCCCACGTGACGTCTGTGGGCCTGCCTGTTGCCCTCGGGAGGGCTTCTCTCTGTGTCAGGAAGAGGTGGCTGCCACTGGGCCTGCTTCCCAGCGGTGCTCAGCGGGCTCTACCCAACTCCCACCCGTGTGTGCAGACAATGCCCGTTAATCAGCAGTGCGAGCTTCTCTTCTTTTCGGGAGAACATTTCTGCCATTTCCAAGCCCATCCCATAGGAATGTGCCTCTGTGTGTGTGTGTGTGTGTGAGAGAGAGAGAGAGAGAGAGAGAGAGAGAGAGAGGGAGGGAGGGAGAGAGGAAGGAAGAGAGAGAGGGAGAGAGAGGGAGAGAATGAGATGAATATTTAACACCCCCTTCAGCCACACTGCCTCTCTGGGTCTCCACGCTTCCTCATCTTCACTTGTGGCTTTTGTCTCCCAGGG